TTTTATATCGCTTTGGCAATATTTTAACATCAGCTGTATTCATCCTATTTAATTTAGGGTTATGAAGGACTGATAGTTGAATTTTTTAACAATGATATGAGTATAACTGACGTTTTTTCTAAATTCCGCAAGGCCTTGCTTTCCCAAATATTGTTATCATCCAGAGTGGATTGCACCTTCGACCTCGGCCAGGTCTTATCAAAACCCCCGGCGGGAATTGAACCATGAAAGTGCAGCGTGTAAGCTCGGCAGGTTAACTACTCCTCATTACCAAGAGTGACCTTGGGTCACAGGGAAGATGTGAATTTCCAGGAAGGCCGGACATTTTTCCATATCACCTTGTTTGGTGGGATTGTCGATGAAGCGAAGTTATATTTGTTATTACAATCGACTTTATTACTTATTTTTCGTTTATAAGCAGAGTTTCGTAACTATTAATAAATCATTTATCCGAGATATTCACCCTATTTATGTCAAGGTAATGAAGGACTGGTAGTTAAATTTTCCCATTATGATTTGAGTAGAGCTGATCTTTCCTTTGAATTTCATATAATCTTGCGTTCCAAAAAGTTATTCTCATCCAGATTGGACTAACAGTCCTTCCCACCTTAAATGAATTGGGGTGAACACATCTCATAGTCTCGAAACTGCTTATAAACGAAATATAAGTGTTTTAACATGACGGACGCTAATTACAAAATATACATCTTTTTATAGGATCATATTTGGCAATTTTTACTTCAGAATTTAGTCCGCGAAGTTTTTATCGGAAAATCTATCGCTTTCACAACAGATTTCATTGGACTCTCGGAAATCAGGATTTAATCACTATAGCACTTGGGGTTTTATTCAGAATTAAATTGTTGTCACGTAGAACATCGGGCCTGTCATAGCTGAAATGCTGACTGTCGAAACCACATACTTATCCAATTTACTTTAACCTAAAGCCATTTTACATATTTAAATCAACAGGTATTCCGTGTTATGATCATTTGATTGTTTTTTATTTCATTTTTTACTTGGGTCAACTCTGCACAGCTAACTTACGTGGTCATAACTCGCCAGCCGCGTCGACTGGAGGTCTTATGGTACCCCCTATAGCTAATAATGGACTCTTACCTTATGCGAAGCCACATTTCCATATTCGCCATCACCAGCAACAAGACAAATATTTTATGGGGAACGAGCATAATTCACCAAACCTTATTGCGCCGCACGGAACCCAGCTACAGTCTATGAATCTGGCACCCATGGCAACTGCTACAAGAATTCACAAGGAATCGGTCAGTTTTCGATATTTAAACAAGATGGTAAATATCATTGTTTTACGCTCTATTTAGAAAGAAAAAAGTGACACTATTCGTAGTCCTTTCCAAGCTTACTTAAGGCCCCTGACAAGATCTAGTAGCAGTAGGATGGTTTATAGTATCAATTTATCCACTCATCTCTAAGCTTTCTTCTAATGCATTATTTTGTACTGTTAAAATCAGA